TAGGTATTTCTCCTAATGTTAACCCTCCCCCAAACCCCCACCCTTCTTATCCCTTCCCAGCCCCAACCCCTCAACTGGTCCTGCTGTGTGATGTTCCCCTCCCTGTGTCCATGTATTCTCATTGTTCAACTCCCACTTATGACTGATAACATGAGGTGTTTGTTTTTCTGTTCTTTTGTCACTTTGCTGAGAATGATGGTTTCCAGCTTCATCCATGTCCCTGCAAAGTACATGATCTCATCCTCTTTTATGGCTGCATAGTATTCCATGGTGTATATGTGCCACATTTTCTTTATCCAGTCTATCACTGATGGGCATTTGGGTTGGTTACAAATCGTTGCTATTGTGAAAAATGCTGCAATGAACATACGTGTGCATGTGTCTTTGTAATAGAATGATTTATAACCCTTTGGGTATATACCCAGTAGTGGGATTGCTGGGTCAAATGGAATTTCTATTCCCAGATCCTTGGGAAATCACAGCACTGTCTTCCACAATGGTTGAATTAATTTACACTTCCACCAACAGTGTAAAAGCATTTCTATTTCTCCACATCCTCTCCAGCATCTGTTGTCTCCAGATTTTTTAATGATTGCAATTCTGACTGGCGTGAGATGGTATCTCAATGTGGTTTTGATTTGCATTTCTCTAATGACCAGTAATGATGAGTTTTTTTTTTCATATGTTTGTTGGCTGCATAAATGTCTTCTTTTGAGAAATGTCTGTCATATCTTTTGCCCACTTTTTGATGTTGTTTGTTCCTTTCTTGTGAATTTGTTTAAGTTCTTTATAGATTCTGGATATTAGTCCTTTGTCAGATGAGTAGACTGCAAAAATTTTTTCCTATTCTGTTGGTTACCAGTTCACTCTAATGGTAGTTTCTTCTGCTATGCAGAAGTGCTTAAGTTTAATTAGATCCCATTTGTCTATTCTGGCTTTTGTTGCTATTGCTTTTGGTTTTTAGTCATGATGTCTTTGCCTATGCCTATATTCTGAATGGTATTGCCTGTTTTCTTCTAGGGTTTTTGTGGTGTTAGGTCTTATGTTTAAATCTTTAATCCATCTGGAGTTAATTTTTGAACAAGATGTAAGGAAGGGGTCCAGTTTCAGCTTTCTGCATATGGCTAGCCAGTTTTCCCAGCACCATTTATTAAATAGGGAATTCTTCCCCATTGCTTGTTTTTGTCAGGTTTGTCAAAGATCAGATGATTGTAGATGTGTTACCTCTGAGGCCTCCGTTCTGTTCCATTGGTCTATTTCTCTGTTTTGGTACCAGTACCATGCTGTTTTGATTACTGTAGCCTTTTATTATAGTCTGAAGTCTGATAGTGTGATGCTTCCAGCTTTGTGGTTTTTCTTTTCTTTCTTAGAATTGTTTTGGCTATTCGGGCTTTTTAAAAATTGTATATGAAGTTTAAAGTGTTTTTTTCCAGTTCGGTGAACAAGGTCAATGGTAGCTTTATGGGGTTAGCACTGAATTTACAAATTACTTTGGGCAATAAGGCCATTTTCACAATATTGATTCTTCCTAACCATGAGCATGGAATGTGTTTCCATCTGTTTGTTTCCTCTCATTTCCCTGGGAGATAATTTTTTAAAATTTATATATATATATATATTTATAAAATATGTTAATTTATATATATATGTTTTATTGAACTTTAGCTTCTGGGGTACATGTGCAGATCATGCAAGATTGCTGTATACAGAGGTACATACATGGCAATGTGGTTTGCTGCCTCCATCCTGCTGTCACCTATATCTGGCATTTCTCCCCATGTTATCCCTCTCCAACCTCTCTACCCCTCACTGTCCCTCCTCTATTCCCCCGCAAGAGAATGCAATGTGTGATGCTCCCTTCCCTGTGTCCACGTGTTCTCATTGTTCAACATCCTCCTATGAGTGAAAACATGCGGTATTTGATTTTCTGTTCTTGTGTCAGTTTGCTGAAACTGATGATTTCCAGATTCATTCATGTCCTACAAAGGACGTAAAGTCATCATTTTTATGGCTGCATAGTATTGCATGGTGTATATGTGCCATATTTTCCTTGTCCAGTCTATCATCAATGGGCATTTGGTTTTTTGAAGATAATATTTTTAAAGTCTTTCTTTACAAGTCTTCACCTTTCTTCCTTCCCTCCCTCCCTCCCTGCCTTCTTGCCTAGTGGTTCTAACAGTTTTTATTTAATGTATTTTGAAGTTGTGTTATTAATTGTCTATATGTTTAAGATTGTTATATTTTCTTAATGGACTGAAACACTTAACATTATAAGATGATTTGTTTATCTTTAGTTATACTTTTTATATCTATCTAACTAATCTCCTATTCTTGTTTGTCTCTTTTAAGATAAAAATTTTAATATTTGTCTAATTGGTTTGCTTGATATTTTTTATTTTTAATTTTGTGATAACCTAGATGTATACTTGATTATAACCTTCTATTTCTGAGACTTGCGGCTGACTTATTTCCAATATCATGCTATATCTTTTAATCTTTGCAGTCCTGAGGTTTTATTATATTTAGGTAAACAAATTTGTGATTTTCTTTTAGTATCATTCATACATATCTGCTTTCCACATATAATATTAATTTAAAGGTGTATTGATCTGATTTCTAATTTTTTTTCAGGCATACCTCTTTAATACATCTGGGCCCTAAGTTCCTTTAAGAAAATATATTTCTACTAGTAACTAAATTTATGTTATGTTATTAATAGATATTAGTTTTTGACAGTATAATTTACATAAGCCTAGCATTATGAAATGCCATTATTAAATGTCATTACTAAGGAAAGCTAATTTTAAAAATCATAAACATGGCACTACCTTTTGTTGTTATACAGAGCAAACGACATACCAGTTATTCAGTATTACTTGTTGACCCGAATTGAATTTTTCTTTATTGAAAACTTGAGGTTACAAATTTTAGGTTGTTAAGGTTTAGTCTCTCCACACTCATTGCTCTCTTCCCTCTGTGTAACACTAACTGAGCCTGATGAGTGACCTGAATGGCTAATTGGCTTCCTTCTTTTTCCTTGAATCATTGTCCCACCTGAGTTTCCTTAATTGAGTCCAAGAGCTGACCAAATACAAAGAAAGGAAACTAAGATGTACAGAACTACCGTGAAAATCCCTTCCTTTATATAGCTAGTTTATGTAAACCTTCCATTAGCACTTTGACTTACATATTGATTAATTTTAATATAAAAAATGCTTATTATGTGCAGCCAGTTTGCTAAAAGCATTCTCTGGGCTATCTCATTAAATATTTACAATAACCTTTGAGGAAAGACAGTGGGTATTGAAAAATTATAAAATATGTTATCATGTAGTATGAAATTATGTAAAAAGAATAACATGTAATATGTTACATACCATAACATGATTACATACTATAATACTATCAGTTACAATTAATTTACCCTTTAAAAACGCTTTGTAAAAAGAAGCAGAGTTAGCATGTAGACATATTTGGAATATAAGTGCTGTGCTTATATTTTCTCAATTATCAAGAAAAAGAAATAATTCATAGGAAGAGTTTTCAGAAAGGAAATAAAAATACTGACTCTTAATATTTGCAATTAAGCCAAGAACCCATTTGAGGTATAATGAAATGGGACAAAATTCTCCTTAAATGTGACACTGTGCATGTACCATTACTTGATTCCTCAATTCATGTGGATAATATTATAACATGAAAAGTTGTATGCAAATAAGACTAGCAGTTCCTAAACACAGAGAAATCTCTGCTTTTCCTACTTCATCGTGAGAAAAGTTCTACGGACAAATTTGTGGATGGCTTGAATATAAGCGCAGAATACTTGCAAATAAGACAGGTAACTCAGCCTTCATGTTTGTGAATGTTGTAGATCTAGTGTATCTCCCATTTATTTTGTCATGAAAAAAGTTAAATACTTTAGGTCTACATATATCCTAATGTGATCTAAATACATGATTATTGCCATATTGGAGGAAATAACAAAACTGAGAGACTATCAAGCTCAATCTCCTGGTATATTCATGTTTGTAAATTAGCTTGGAGAGTTTGCACCATGGCAGCCTCCTGCTTTGAGTGCTTTCCCTTGTCCTTGCCAACATCAGAAAGAGCTGTCCCAATCAAGGTAACCAACAGAAAATCTGCAGTGTAAACTATGTAAGTAATTTGCATATGCTCAAAAAATGAGCAAGAGAGGGTAGCCAATTGCAGTTAGTCTAGTGATCTGACTTCTCATTCCACTTTCTTGCCTTGAGCTTCCAAAGGCCAGGACTCACCGCCAAATGCAAGGTTCTAAAGGACTCTTGAAAGTTGGCAGGAAATGAGTGTAAGCCCCCAAGAAGCCTATGGCTGATGAGATCATTCTGGAATACTAAAGAAAAAATGAACTATATATCCCAGTCTAATTCTTTTATTTACTTCATATTCTGTTTTCCTTTCTTCCGTTTTTTCAATGAGTCTTCATGCTTTAAGTATGCCTAATCTGCAAGATATATTTTATAAGCTAATTCTAATTCTAAGTCTTTTCATATCCCTATGTGTATCTTCTGCCTCAGTAAGTTTTCAAACTTTCATGTGGTTTTAACATTGGAAATTGGAAAGAGAAAATGAATAATTAAGGAATTAAAGAAACCACTATTACAATAAACAGGAATATCATTTGCTTTTTTCTAATTACTTTTATTAAGAGAAAATTTCTTAATATATATTTGTACTCTTGCTGATAGAGGATGAATAAAAATCATCATAAGTGGGGATTCTAGTCAAAAGCAGTTATTACCTGGTTAAATAATTCACAAGAGATTCTTAGCTGTGGTTATAGCTCATGAGGGGACATTATGTATGCCTTTTTATATGTCTTAATATTGAACAAGAGATCTCAGAAATTCATATTCACTAAAAACTAAAATCAAGATAATTTCTCTTTAAGTTTTCCTGTCCTCAGTTTGTAAATCTTTATTATTATGGTTTAAAACTAAAATGGCTCTTCAGTAATTTTAGAACAATGTGATTGCTGATATTTACCCCTTTCTATGACCTTACCACAAATCTAAATAAAGATTGTGATTTAAAAGCGTCCATGAGTCTGTCGTATGGCCTGTCCATATTTATTGAATCTCAGCTTGAAAACAGCATTATGTTTAAACAACAACAGAGCCAATGCTTGTTTTCTTCCCTTGGCCAGATGGTGCATCATCTTGGGAAATGGTGTAACCTGTCACAGTGTGTAAGTGTGATCTTGTGTGAAAAAATTCTGCAAGCTTGGGACACTATCTGTGGAGGCCACATGCTGTCTCTCATTATCCCAAATAATCAAAATTTTGTATTTTCCATAACAACACACCATTGAGATTAACAATTAAGAATCACAGACTAGGGTCAAAGAAACATAAAATTTTTATAGTTAAAAAGGAGTCTTCTCTAATTTTTTTCTATCTTATTTACATCCGTCTACCTTAAGAATATGCTAATACCCAAAGAAGGTATTTGCTCTTGCAAACAATGGAATACTGTGGTTATCTGTAGAGAAAAAACCCTGTGCATTTAGGCTTACATATAGACTTTCTTCTTATGGGCCAGAAAAATTCATAAAACCTAAGGATTTATTTAAAAAAATTTTTTTCTTAAATTCATTCTGTTCTTGGAGTCAAAAGGTCTGAGTTCAGGTTCTAATTTTGTGATTTTTTTAATGACCTTAGACAAGTAATCTACACACTCTATTGAGGATGAATCAAATGGTGATGTAAAAAAATCTAAACCACATCATTAATGTTATGATTGAATGGGCCAATTTTTGGAAAGTAATTTCTAAACTGTAATATTATGACTAAATGACATTATTATTTTAAGAAGAAGGAAGGTATCTTTTTATCTTCTTTATCTCTTTTGTGCTTCTGGGTTTTCTTAAATTTGTAAATGAGATTGCTGAGAAAAATAGCTTGAAATAGTTTAATAATTTTCCAGGTGTAACAGTCAGTGTCCAGCCAGAATAAGAAAGCACTCTAGGTCTTTCAAGCAGAGGTATTGCTTACACAAGTGTCAGAAGGGCAGGAGGAATGAATGGGGCAAAGAGGCCATTAGAGGAATCCAAGAGAGGAGGAGCTTACTCGAAGAGCTGGAAGCTGTTACCATCCCTGGGCTGGACCTCAGCTCTTTCTTGCCTCTGCTTTGCTGGAGGCAATGCCACTGTTACTGCTGCTGCTTTGAAACTGCACCATTTGTGTGCAGCATCTAGGTGCACTACCATGTTGGTCCTTTTCTCTCTCTTCCAATGTCCTTCCAGTACCAACCTTTGGCAAATAAACTAGAATATAGCTGGCAAGTGAGTCTGGAAATGCGATAAGAGATTATTCGTTAGTCTTTGTCAGTAAAAATTTTTACCCACCCTGACATCAGAATCTTGACTGGAGTTGAAGGCCAATGTACCACACAGATTTCATGACAATTTATTTGAGCAGCTCATGTTTTCAACTAGTAAGTCTATTGAATCCATTTAGTTGTAGACTTCTACTCATCTAGAAAGCTTAGCCTAAACAATGAAAGAATGCTAACTTTCTTAGTGTTGGGAAAGAGGTCACTACAAAAATGTTTGCAATGAGACTTTCAACATAGTATTTGAAGAAACACTCCTCAAAATATAAGCCATAGATCACTTCCATCAGAATCTCCTGATGTACTTGCTAATTATATATATATGTAATTATATATATGTATATACACAATATATATATATTTAATATATTATTAGTATTATACTTATATATACTTGGTATTTTATTATTTAATAGTTGTTAACAAATGGAATATAGCTAGCTAGTTAGCTAGGTACATAGATAGATGTAGCTACAGATAAAGATATAGATATATGCAAACTCTGTCCTAGATGTTCTAAATCAGGATCACAGATTATGAACTCTGAGAACCTTCATTTTATTAAGCTCCCTTTGGTGGCTAATGTCCAGTCAGAATAACAAGTGACTATAACTATAATACTTTATCTTTTATAAGCAAACAGGGATACAGGGCAGGAAATTGCTTATACAGGTGCTGTACTCATTGATTTAGAGACATGATTTTCAGTGGTTAGATGGTGATATGGACTAAATTGTTTCACTCCCAAATCCATATGTGGAAGCACAACCCAATCCCCCATTGCGACTGTATGGGAGGTTATATCTAAGGAGACAATTAAAGGTAAAAGAAGTCATAAAGGTGGAGCCCCTAATCTGATATAACTAATGCCCTTATGAGACGAGGAAGAGGCAGCAGAGCTCTTTCTACCATATGAGAACATAGCAAGAAGGCAGCTGCTTGCAAGCCAGAGAGAGTCCTTACTAGGAATCAACAGGTTGACACCTTGGTTTTGGATTTCCCAGCCTGTAGAACTGTAAGAAAATAGATTTCTACTGTTTAAGCCACATAGTCTATGGTATTTTTTATGGCAGCTGAGGCATACTATCATAGATGTGGAGTGACCACATTTTATTTTCTCATCCAAACCTTTCCTGACTCCTGCTTTGTGGATTTCCTTCTTAGGCTCTATTTATTTTATATTGATGCCCGACACCCCGAGTAGTAGAAAATATAGTCTGAAGCACTCTCAGAAGTCAGTGGCCAGACTGCACTTATTGTTAGTCCTGTTCCCATGGTAGCCACCCACAGAAATGCTGCTGCTTCTACAGGGAGCTGAGTTTGTGCTATGTTTGCAGCTGCCCCTCATGACTCTGAAAGGAGCAGCTGGTCACAGTTGATGCCAAAATTAAATCCAACCCACTCCATAAATTAATAGTTGCCCAGCAGTTTTGTCTTATGTCCAGCGAGACATTATTTTCCCACTCTAAAAAAACTAATATAATGATCATGCAATGAATGCTAAGTGACTTTCATGAAAATACCCATCAACATCTCTACTTTTGGAGAAGATGATTAAAACCCATTAAAAAAAAAAAAACACAAAGGCACAATGATGAGGTGCCATTTCCAAACCTTATCTATCCTGACTTCCTCTCACAGAATCCTGATCCCCCCACCCCATGAGGTTGCTTTTTTAAAGATTTTATATGGTTTTCTCAAAAGAAAGTTTGCATGCCCATTATTTAATTCACAATGCAGTATTACCAGGGTTAGTAAACTCCTTAGAGATTATCTTTTAGTCATTTTCAGTAAGAATTTTAACTGATCCATGCTGTTTTGCCTGGCAAAATCTCTCAACCTCACCTGTACTTTCGGTGTTTTTCCAATTATGCAAGTCTACATTGCCTGGGGGTTAGTTGCCTCATAAAAAGCCCTTTGAGAACAGAATAAGGAATAATTGCAGACAATGCTAGCTCAGAGGACAACTGAAGGCAGGAAAACTTTGTTATCTGTTGCCTACATTATCCAATACGAAAAAAGAGCATAACTACTTCCTCTCACCCCCTTCTAGAAGTGCCTAGAAGAGAAGGAAACTGGCAGATATGGGTACCATCAATTGCATCAATGACCAAGCACTGTACACTCTATACTAGGGAGAGGACATGGGCTGCAGGCTTTGTTCTAAGCATGTTCCTTCTGGGCCTTATCTCTCTTAGTTACAGAATGAGAATCCAAAATTAAAGGGTCTCTAAAACAACTGCACCTCTCAAAAGTCAGTAGCTTTTTGTTTTAATGGATTCTGCCAGCTTCTGCTCTGAGCACTTTTTAAAAAACTATTTGTCTAATGAAAAGCCTTCAGAAGTCATTATTGATCAATAAAATACATACAAAAAAAGCATATTCATAATAGTATAGCTTGATGAATTTTCACAAACTCAACACATCTATGTAACCAGTGCCCAAATGAAGAAACAGCATGTCTCTGCAGCCCAGAAATCCACTCCTGGCCCTTTTTAAATCACAACTTCCTAAAGAGTGTTATACATAATATAATCTAAGGTAAATTTCAATACAATGTGCATTGCCGGGGGTGGGGGTGAAAGCATTTCATAGTGATACAAGAATTGGTTGATTAGCAAGACATAATAATCCTAAACATGAACATTATAAAAGGCTTTAAAATACAAGGAGAAGCAAGACTCTGTCCTCTGTTTCTTCAAATCAGAATACTGCAGGAATTCTTTTGGAGTTTTAGTCACTCTTCATGTAGCTGAATGCAGCCTACTATCAGCTAAAAACCCTTTAAAATATGGGAAAGTGATACCATGCCAGGCTCTTATTCTACCTGATGTCTCGCATTTAAAATCTGTTTATTTTTGCTATTTTCACATGAATTCAGGCTTTAGCCCTCCTTTACCACGTCTCACCCTCCAGGGATTTTGTCAGTTATGTGTAGGATAGTTGTCCTGGAAAAAACTTGTTTGGCCGTATTAGAAATGGAACACTCACTGATGTTTTATGTATTCCAGTGTAGAGATCTTACATATCTTTCATTAGATTTATTTACAAGTTATTTGATATGTTTAAATACTATTGTAAATAAAATATTTTTTCTTGAAATTTTAATTGTGTATATATAACCACAAAAATACAATTGATTTCAGTGTATTGACTGTGTGACCAGTGGCTTGATAAATTCACTTATTCTAATGGTTTATTCAGTAGATTCTTTCATATGTCCAGATTGTATTCAATCACAGGTTCTATAAAGAATGACAGTTTTAGTTCCTACTTTTCATAACTTACACTTTTTATTTATTTATTTTGCCTATTGTACTGGCTAGATTCTCTAACATAAATTACAATAGAATTGTTCATAATAGATGCTATTTCCTTTTTTCCTTTACAGAATAAAACTTTTAATATTTTTCCCTGTGTGACATTTGATGTCTGTTTTTAAAGATACCCTTTATCATAATTTTAAGAAGTTTCTTTTTTATTTTTAACTTACTGAGTGCTTCTCTTCTTAAATATATGTTTACTTTATTAAAAATTTTTTCTATATTTTTTATATGAATATAGAATTCTTCTTTATTCTTTAAGTGTGTAAAATTACAGTGGATGGTATTTCAACTGTTAAAGACCTCTTTCATCCATAGAATACCATCACTTGGTGACACCTTACTATCTATCTAACTTCATGTACATCTTCCTACCTGCCTACCTATATCTCCATTATATTTGCTTTTAATTTTAGGAAACCATCAGTCTTTTATAACATCTTTCAGAAACTAGAAACATACTAGGCATTTCACAATTTTGTTGTGTATCCTGGTATACCATTTTCTTCTAGCTTATGCTGTTTGTGTTGAAAAGCCAGCTCATACTCTTGCTGTCATCCCTATGAAGACATTGTCAATAAATATTGTGTGTGTGTGTGTGTGTGTGTGTGTGTGAGAGAGAGAGAGAGAGAGAGAGAGAGAGAGAGAGAGAGAGAGATTGTGTCTTGGCTTTTATAATTTTCTCTTTTTATTTAGTTTGAGCAGCTTTCCTATGATATGGGGAGGAAATTTTCTCTTTTTATTTAGTTTGAGCAGCTTTCCTATGATATGGGGATATGCCTCTCTTTGACTTCACTTTGCTTGGATAGTTTAGAAGTTTATATAACTACAGTACAATACATGTTTTATGAATTTCAGAAATTGTATTGGCTGTTATGTCTTCAAATATTGCTTCTGCCATGTTTTTTTCTACTTTTTTTCTCTAGGGCTGCAAGTATTAGAGCAGTAGACTTTTCACTATGTCCTGTGTGTCTTTCATGTTCTTCTTTTAAAAAATTATTTTACCTTATTTGGTTTCTTGGTACTTCAATATTTTCTATTGATTTATTGTTATAAACTAAATTGTGTCCCCTCCAAAATTCATATATTGAAGACTTAATCCCTATAGCCTCAGAATGTCACTGTATTTGAAAATAAGGTCTTTAAAGATGTGATTACATTAAAATGAGGCCATTAGGATGGGACCTAATGTAATCTGAATCGGATCCTTATAAGAAGAAGAAATTTGGGCACACAAAGAGACACTAGGACCGCCTCATGTAGAGAAAAGACCATGTGCAGACACAGAAAGAAGATGGCCATCTGCAAGCCAAATAGAGAGGTTTCAGAAGAAACCAAACCTACTAACACCTTGACATCCTAGACATCTAACTTGTGGAACAGTGAGAAAATAAGTTACTGTTGTCTAAGTCACCCAATCTGTGGTATTTTTGTGGGTTTTTTCTGGTAGCCCTAGTAAACTGTGTTTTCCTTTTGCTGATTCTATGTCTAGTTGTGCTTATCTCTTCTTAAAACTATCTATTGAATTCTTAATTTGTTTTAAGTTTCAGGAATTCAACCTTTAAAAATGATTCTAGCTTTAAGGTAAAATTATCTATATTTACTTAGCTTTAAAAATTATCTATATTTACTT